GCACATGCGCAAATGCATCGCAGCCACCATTTTGGAGAACAAAATGGCGACCACCACTCACGGCCGCCATTTTGATTTCCAAAATGGTGGCCGCGACTCGTTTGCACATGCGCAGTACTTCTGCGTATGCGCAGACGCATCGCGGCCGCCATTTTGGAAATCAAAATGGCAGTTGCAGCTGCACGGCGGCCAAAACACGCAGTGGCGGTGGCACGCAGCGGCGGCAATCCGCCTGGGCCGGTAAGTACGGGGACCTGGGCCTTAACTGGACTGCGGGCCATAGGTTGCTGGCCCCTGATCTAAAGGTTAGGACATTGCACCGTCTTCCCTTCATTTTATTCCCAAAGGTGCAGTCCTTACAAGGAACCGCAATTTAAAAATTGTGGTGAATTGATCTCTATTAATCAAAGTACTAGACTGAGTATAGATCTCAGTGCTCCTGCTATAAACATTAGACTATTAGCTGCAGCATAAACATTTATCAGAATTGAGGTTTCTCAACTCAAGTCTCCATTTCTAGTCTTACAAAACAGTAACTCCCTCACTGCAAGTGTGGCTCCATACTTCATTCATCAAGAATAATCACCCACAAACACCCACAATATGCCTCCATCTTCCACAACACATTGGAGAACTTTGCAACCAAGAATGTTTAAAGGTATGTTTCTGTGTTTTCTACTGCTATCCATGCTTTGCTATAGGAAACACCAGTGTACCTGTCCTAAAAGATAAAAAAAACTACCTTGATTGGGAAACATTCTTAAGTTCCTTCCCCTAAAAATGACTGAGTTGTCATGTAATAAATCGTAAAACTCCAGGAAACCTTGAGGGAAAACAGTGCAGCTTTGAGAATTACATGCAAATCTGCACGCACACACACGAATTCCAGTTGCACAGAGAGATACCATATATTACTTATCCTCTCTCTTAAGTACCAAATATATCCATAAAAAGGGGGGGAAAGGATAATTACATATTTCCTCAACCTTGCCAACTAATTGTCTGAAAAGTATCAGGAACTTTGGCAGTATGCCTCTGTGAAGCCATTGTCCCAAAGATCTGTCCCATGTACCAGGAAACAAATTCAGCTTTATATCCATATATAGAGAGAGCGAGAGAGAGCACACTTCAAATGAGCTCTGTCAGGATGAGAGACTGTTAGTACATACTAATTCTTCAACTTTGCAGAGTTATAATGTTCAGGAAAGCTTGCATAAATGTTCCTTAAGTATAAAGAATTTTAAAAATAGTAACTTTCAACGCTTTACCACCTTCACTGGAAAACATATGTATAAGCTTTCCAAATGCTACACAAACATTTTTAGAGAATATATAATTGGGTACTCCTCAGTGTAAACAAGATTTTTAAACTATTTTACAAATTAATTTAATTTTCATTTTTTGTAGTGTACAAATAATTTCCTAGGTGAAGAATCTGAAATTTATTTTGTACCATGCCGTTTTGAGAAAACCAATTTCAGGAGGAAAGATGCCTTTGTAGTTCTTTCATTCCGTGATCAAGTCAATTTTTTAAAAATTAATTTTTATTAAGATTTTCTAGAATTTCAGAAATAAAAAAATTATACATTCATATCTACATACACATTCCACTTTCATATAAAGTTTACTTATAATATTGCATCATTTCCATTCCAATTCTTCAGCTTTCATGAATCATCACAAAATACCAGAACTACCAAAGTAAATTCTTTTCTATCTAGATATCTGCAGCCTCCTTCATTACTTTCTTAACTACAGTCTTTTAGATATGATCTCAGTTCTTTTTTAAATTTTTCATGCTATCTTTTTTTTATAGTTTACTGTTCTTCCATGCTTTTCCAATGTATTAGTCTTTCCCTTAAAGTATTTATATTCAAAATACTGTATAATTACTAATATTTAAATTATATAGTAAGCAGATACACAAATACTTTTTAGTTATTCATTTCCTTTATATTACTATTAAATTCTCCCATTCCTATTTTATGTATTTTAATATTTTGTCCCAGTCCTCTGTAAATTTGTTAGTCTCCTGATTTTGTAGAAATCTGATCAGCTTATCCATTTCCCTTACGTCCAATAGTTTTATAAACCAATCTCCTATTGAGGGCAATTTTTCTGATTTCCACGCTCTTGCAAAGACCATTCTTGCCGCCAATAACATATACGGTACATAGAATTCTACCATACTTTTTTCCTAATGTTTCATCAATCATATTTAATAGAAATATTTCTGGTTTAAAATATTTTCCCTCTGTAATAATATTATATTTGTTATGTGTTGAATTTTTGATCAATATTTCTTTACTGGATCACAAGACCACCAAATATGAAAAAAGGTTTCCTTCTCGTCACGTTTTCAACATGTGTCAGAACAGTTGCCATAGATTTTACACAGTGTTTCTGGGGTTAAACACCATCTAAAGTAAATTATATGGTAGTTCTCCCTTAAATCTTGGCACAATGTGTATCTGCAGGCCGATGCAGACGGCCCCTAAGAAGCGGTTCTGTGCCGCCCTGGGAGCGCCAGATTGGAACTGCAGCAACCACATACTGTAGCCCCAATCTGGCTTTTTGCTGCTCCCAAAAGAGCTGTGTGCACGCTACGCCAACAAAGCACCCTGACTCCACACACTGTGCAGTCAGGTGTGTGGGGTTAGGGCGGTCGGCGGCTGGCCGCCCCGCCCCAACTCCACCCCCAGGCCAGCCCTTTAGGCCGGTCTGCATCAGCCCTTAGTCACTTTCCCCATGTTATTTCCCGTTCTAATTCAACTGAACAGCCAAGATTTTGGGACCATTTGACCATGTTGTCTTTAACCACTTCACCTTCCATGGCCAGTTTTAATAGGTTTCTATGTAGTTTGGATAGGATGATCGTTTTACTTGAAATTAATAAGTTTTCCAGATCTGAAATACTGTATATACTCGTGTACAAGTCAGCTTCATGTATAAGTCGAGGGCAAGTTTGGGGGACAAAATTTTGGATTTTGATATGACATGGATAGGTCGAGGGTACAGCGTAGGGGCATGTAACAAAGGATGTAAATGACAAAGCCCCCCACATGCATTATTATTATTATTATTATTATTATTATTATTATTATTATTATTATTAATTTATATCCCTCCCCTCTGCAGAGCAATCGGGGCAGCTTACAACATTAAAATTTACATAAAGATGTGTTAATACAATGTAAACAGAACCTAAAAATCCCGAAACCCACCCGCCCCTTAAAAGGTAAGGGCTCTTCTTATTCTAGGCCTGATGGTGCTGGGCCTGGTGACAGATGACATCGGATGGAATGGAGGGAGGGCTCTTCTTCTTAGTCTAGTCATACTATCTCTTTCCAAAAAGCAATTGGGGCTGTTTCCATCCTCCCTGGAAAAGGACAGAAAGAAAGAGATCTCCCTCCTTTCCCAGGGACCAGGGAAACAGCCCAGATTGCTTTTTGCAAGGTGCAAGTGTGTCTGTATATCTCCCTCTTTCCCAGGGAGGAGGGAAACAGACCTGATTGCTTTTTGCAAGAAGAGAGTGTGTCTGTATATCTCTCTCTCCTTTACGAGGGACCAGGGAGACAGACCAAATTTCTTTTTGCAAGCCACGCACGTGTGTGTGTATCTTTTCTACGGATGAGGGGAAACAACCTCGATTGCTTTTTGCAAGGAGAGAGTGTGTCTGTATTTACAAACACACTCTCTCCTTGCAAAAAGCAATGGGGCTTTTTCCCTTTTGCCTGGGAAAGGAGGGAAAGGGAAAGAGAGAGAGATACAGACACATGCATGCCTGACAAAAAGAAATCGGGTCTGTTTCCTTGGTCCCTCGGAAAGAAGGAACACTCAGACTTTTGGCTGAGTAGCAGCTGCGTAGGTATGGAGAAAGGGATGTTGGGCAGAACTTCTTTCTCAGCATTGTTACCATATTGACCCATATATAAGTTGACCCAGGATTCTGAGGCCAGGTTTTTGGCATAAATTTTTCGACTTATAGACGAGTATATACAGGTAGGTGTTTCTAAGCCCTCTTGTTTATTGTCCCTTTTGTATATTTTCTGTAATTGCCTATATAGAAGCCAGTTACAGTTTCGTCCTTCATTCTTAAGTTCATCTAACATTTTAAATCTTGTTGTATTATTTTGTTGGATCATTAAATCTTTGTAGGTGAACCAGATTGCATTTAACCAGGGGTTATTTCTAAACAAGGCTTCGTGAGGTGAGGCTCACACTGGTAT